ATCTCCATTGTCTGCCGAGCTACAGGTGGACTCACTTCCATCTGAGCGCCTTGTGGCTTCGGTCAATACAATATAGGCTCCTCTGAAAATCGGGACCACCTGTCCCCATTCATAGAGCTGAACTCCAGTTCCACTGTCTAGGCGTACCGTGCAGTCATTTTGCCAAACGCACTGGTTCATCGGGTAGACCTGCATAAAAATGCCATTCACATCTGCATAACCAGTAAAATACAGCAGAAAGGTTGCACGAAACTGCTCATCCTCGGAATAGTAGTCCAAGAGGATCGGGAAGATGGTGCTGGTTTGAAAGGTAGTCAAAATAAAATGCGGCACCCTTTCAGGCAGACTATGCGGGATCGGTTGCACAATATAGACAAAACATTGTCTTCGGCCAACGGCACTGGCCCAGAAACTCCTAACCTGGGGTCCCGCTGGGAGTTCATGGTTGTACCATTCTAACCGAAAAAGTCCGCTCAGCCTTCCCCTAGCATCAACCGGGTGGAACCAGGCAATGATCTGGGTATTTCGATGATTCAAAGCATTCAGTCGAATGTGTCTTCCTATAGCATCTTCAATCGGCGGTCCAATTTGCATGAGCAAAAGGGCATCGTGCATAGCATCTTCTCTGGGGAAGACATGCTGATTAGGTCGAGCACCAGCACTGGAATAGTCGATCTCAAGCAGCTGACCTTGGGACAGGGGCCTATCATGGTCCTGCCAGATAATTGACCTACCTCCATCACTCGAGCAGGCATGCCAAGACCGCTCAAAACCACGTCTCCTGAGCGGAAAAAGAGAACAGGCTTCGTACCTAAGACTGATGCTATGGGAAACCGTCAAATCAGGGCCCAGACGGAATAAGACTGCCCGAAGAGTCGGCAGTGTCTGGCGCCAGACCAAAAAATGTCTGGCTTTCAAATTGACAAGGAAATCGGACCCAGGCGGTTGAGGTCTTACAAGAGCATAATCACATAGCATCTTGCACTCAGCCGCCCAAAGCTGGTTGAAGTCCTCCCTAAGCAGTCTCAATTCTTGATCAGGGTAGTGCAGCTGCCTTGATTCAGATATACAGCCAGGGAAACTCGCATACCAAACAACGGCTGTCCAACCGGTCTCCTTTTCAGCATATGCATGCACATCATGTTCCCGAAAGGAACCATGCACATAGGTATCGGCTAACAATATCGGATGTTCTCCACTAAGATGACTGGAAACAAGATTGTCAAGGCCAGTCCCAAAATGTGGACAAAATTCATGCACAGTTCCTAAAGTGGTCTGGTTGCCACCCGGAACACAGGGAGTGGTCAGCACGTCACATAACCGCACATGTGGCGCAAGATTGTCATTCGGTCGGCTCAATCTTGAAGTCAAAATCGGAACAGACTCACCACTCTCCCGGCCGCCCGTGTCGACAAGGCTCGAACTGTCAGTAGAGATGCGTTCAGCTTCGGGCATATGCTGACCAGCATCTTGATGCTCAGCCGCGTGCTCTTCAGTCAAGCCCGGCAGGCTTGCTCTTCGAACTTCAGAGGCTAGGCTGACTGCTTCAGCAGAGACGAGGTTGAAAAGCAAAACCATTGCAATCAACTTCTTTTTTGTCCCAATGTGTCGTGGATGCCTACCAAACCTACTCCCAGCATGGAACAAGCATCGAGACGGGAACTTTGGAGTGTGCTCTTCTCGAATTCGGAGATACCACAGTATCTCAAAAACCACAAGAAGAAAGAGCACTATTCGAAAGTAGCACTGGAGGATATGCACACCACCTAGCGCAAGGTCATAAGAAGGATCATCTTCAGCCATCTCGAGCAGACAAAGCAAACAGGCGCAACAAAGCCTAAGGCAAAATTTGCAGCTCTGGTTCGACTCGGTAGACGGCCAAAAGTATAGCCTGCGAATTTGCTGATTCCTTAGGAAACCAGACTCTAGCCGGAGGTGTTCAAATGCAGCAACCCCGGTTATAGCGATCACCAAAATACAGAGAGCCACGAGCATCTGCAAGGCAGTGGAAAGAAACCGGTTAGCCCTTACACAAGACCAGCCGATATCCTTGCAGTCGAACTCATCCATAGTCCGGCGACTCATAGATTTCATCTCGTTGAAGGACACAGAGGGACTTGACCAATCTGTGCTATCAGATCTCTCTGTGTCATCGTCACCCAAAACAAAAAGATCAGAGCCATCACAAGTTCCGGGGAGCAACCCAACACCCCGAAGATCATGGATGGAATTCCAAAACCCACATTTCAGTTCCCAAACAGGAATCTTCACACTACCAAAAGGAAAACAGTTGCTGATTTCCTCAGAGATGCAACTCCGATATCCAGCAGCCGTTCCTGCCAACTCAACTTGAAAGGATCTGCAGCCTTGAAATGAGGCGCACCATGCTTTCAGTGAATAAGACATCATGACATCCCTTCCATAAGGGACTTCCTTCCCCCATCGGGTGTCAAAGCCATAGACGAGTGGTGAAGGCCTGGGGGCGTATATGGTCCATCTCCAAGCTGTCTGGACCTTGTGCTCGTCTTGCCAAAAGGTTGGAGCACAGGATGGCTTTGGAGAGGGAGAAGCTCTACCGGGCCAACTGAAGCCGCTGTCTCGGCACCAGGCACCGTACTCCCATCTCCCATCCCCACACAGGCATGGAGCATCTGCGTGTGAGTCGTCACAATCAAGCCAAGGACCGCATCCCATGTCTTGTAGTCCTCGGGGTCTTGCTGGATTGTCTGAAGCACCGCCATCTGGCATTCTTCTGGATACTTCAGGAGCTCGTCTTTGAGCTGTTGTGACTCGTAGTCCTGGATCACCTTGGGGATCTTCGCAACTCTGCGCTCCGCATCTGGAGTTCTTGATCTCCCACGGCCAGGCTCTTCCTTGACTTTGGCCAAAGAATCTTTTTCCTTCTTCTCTTTTTCGAGTACTGTTCCAAGCGTCTTCCGCCGGCCTTTCACATTCTGTTCCGGAGAAGCCACTGGAACATGCGGTGTCATGACATTGCCTTGGATCGCCCCAACCAGGCTCATCATCTGGGCTTGAAGCTGCTCCATCATTCGAGCATTTTTCTGATCCAGCTGTGAGGTGTAGGCAACAACCTCCTGCAGGTCCGTTTTCAAACTCGAAATCTCCTTGTGCAGCTGTCGATTCTCCTTGACCAGCTCTCGGTGGGGCTCCTCTTCGTCGTCTGTATCGACCGTAATCGGTTCGATGCCATCTCGCTGGCGCTCCAGGGACTTGAGTTCCTGTGCCAACTCTGCCATCTCGCTGGTATGTCTCTTCTCTTCTTGTCGAATGCCAGTCTCGACCGTCTCCTTCCAGACTTGAAAGTTCTTGGACTTCTTGTCGATGGAGTCTTTTGTCTTGTCGATCTTGTTGATCTTCTTGCGCTCTTCGTTCAACTCCTTTTGACGCAGCCTGATACTTTCTCTGGGGTCGATGCGTACAAGCTCTTTGACCTCGTCTGGGATCTCCGCCTTCTCTGCATCGGTCGGGGCAACTTTGTCCAACATGAAGCGCATGGCCTCCTTGAGTCTTCGATTCTCGGTCAAAGCTTGTGTCTCCTGCGACAAAGGCTGCGATTGCTGCCACGATGAGCCAGCAGAGTCGACATCTACCGCTTTGCCGTCGTATCCCACCAAGAGGACATTCTTTTTTCCTTTGGTCTTGGTGTCTCCTTGATCTTCTTTCTTCCGATTCCCCTTCTTGTGGGGGCGTTCCCATTCGTACCAGTAGGCCTCTTTTTTCCATGACATAGGTCTGGCGATCCAAGGCACAGTGTAGGTCGGACGGGAGTGATGCTCTTCTAGTAGGTTCAAGCAGCGAAAAAACCGTTGCTTCTGTCCCTCGTTCAAAGCCCTCTTGAACTGGCGCCGCCTGACAAAAAGTCTAGCTTTTTGTCTCTTAGATCGGGCACGCCGGTGCCACCCTGGTGAAGGAATGGCTCACACGCCCGGGAGGTTCGTGCGTTTGCACTGGGGCACAAGAAATTCAGGTCGTAACCTGCGAGCCTCGAGCCCTCAAATAGATAGATAGATAGATAGATAGATCTATAGATCTATAGATACATAGATATAGATACATTTTCATGACAGAGTTTGCTGCCGTTCCTGACTGGGAAGGTCTCCTTGGTGCAGGCATTATTCAGAGCAAAGCTCTGAAGATGGAGTCATGGGTAGGAAAAGGCTGCTTTGCACTCAGTTTCAATAAATATAATATATTGCCAAACGTTTTGTGTTCACGAAAAAATAACACATACATTTCTTCTATTTGATGTGCACTGTTGCTTTGGCTGCTCTGCCGTCTTGTGGATCTGACCTTCAGAAAACAACAAATAAACCATTTACCGTATTGTTCCGGGATTCTGGCAAATCTTGGATGGTGCACTTGGTGGTCTGATTTGGGGTTTAACCTCCAACTTCTATCCCGGCTAAATTTTGGACATGATGCTGAAAGATCGGTGAACACTTAAAGAATTCACTGTAAATACCATAAAACCCTGCTCCTCTGGCATCAGATCTACAAGACCGTTCAAATAGAAAATATTGGAGGTCAGCGTGCCCAACAAGCATCAAGAAAGGACCTCTTGCACAATGTATGTTCTTCTATTTGAAACCTGGCTTGGAAACCACCAAAACTACACCTTCTAATTGAAACATTCAACGCATTGCGTCAAACATAGAATACCGTATTATAATTGGTCCACTAACTCTCTGACCTTCAACAATTGGTTCACTAACTCTCTGACCTTCAAAGACTGCTCCACTAGCTCTCCGACCTTTAATTGTTGGTCCACTAGCTCTCTGACCTTCAATCATTGGTCCACTAACTCTCTGAC